AATAGCAAAGAGTAGAATTACTTCTCTCCACTTCCCATCAATTCAAGACTTTCAGAGTATATTTTGGAATATGGAACAAATCTTTATACAGTGAAAGTCAACAGAGGAACTCACTTCTTATCCACATGTTTCCCATTGCTTTCTGTTGGGAAGGAACAGTGGACCAAGACTAAAAGCAATAGAACATTTATAACCAAACCACCGACTGCATATATTTTTCTATGAGCAAATCACATCATCTTTCTGTTTCCTGTTCTACACTATGAAAAGAAATTCCAGCCCCAGTACTGAGAAAAATGTCATTATAGTAATAAAGCTCAAGTACAGTATTAAGAGACAGGGCACCTACACATTGAGGCTGTGTCCTTCATTATAACATCATCCACACCTCTTCTCGAGTTCATATCAGCATAAATTTGAGGAGAATTTGGTCTCCAGACCCAACAGTCTTCACACATACATATTGGCTATTGCTTCCAAAATTGTTATTCTTTCTGCTGTGTCCCCCAACTACATCCTGGACACAAAAATCTTTCTACACTTCAAATAATGAAATTCAAGCTCAGCACCCTTGAGTAGCAATTACATCTGCAACAAAATCATGTCTGTTCTCAAAAACATCAACATACAACAAGGAATTCAACACAGACACCCCCCAGCCCTCACATGTTGCCTCTGTAATTTTGATTACTGAAGCGGACTTGAGGGCAGACCCTCAGAGAGTTGATTCTTATTAAAAGCAGCCATGTGCAACTCAGTGATTTTAACTAGAAAGAGCAGCTGTCCATCCTTTCCTTATGTGAGGCAGTGAACACAAAAGAACGTTGTGTTGCGGTGTTTGAAATTTGTTTCTACACAAAATGTGAATTAATTTCAGGGCTGAGGAACTACAGTAATTTTCTTGGTCCTCGGGACACAGGAAGGGGCAGGCAGGAGGAGGAACCTGGGCTAGGTCAGGCAACAGGGCTCATCATCCACATGTGGGCAGGAGGGAGGCAGGGAGGGGTTCACACATTTGCCTCTGCCCTAAGCCCCGTGCACCTCAACACCAGCTCTGCCCAAGCTCCTCCACTGGTTTCCTCGTGTCCACACCTGTGTGACAGAGCTGGGAAGCCTGGCTACTCACCACCACCTTGCCCTTCCTCCAAGCAAACAATAAGGTCCCAATTATGCAAACACCCAGGTTGACTCACAAGTTGCTCACAAGTAGCTAGAAGATGAGAGCCCACCATTTCAATATGGGAAGCTTCAATGCAATAGAAGTGCATCTGAAGTTGTGCTGTGAGTTTTTTAATACCTGCAAAGGCCTTTCCCAGGGACACTACCCACACAACTCCCAGAACAGCATAGGAATATCTGCCAGAAGACAAGGCTGAGTCATAGAATTCACAGAAGGATATGTCTCTACTATAGTCACAACTGATGTGACTGTAATACTGTGTAAACGTAGCCAGGCAAGCTTTAAATTAGCTATCCTGGGCACTGGTAGTAGCCTAGCCTTTGAGTTCAGGCCAGCCTAACCACTAAAGTATTTACCCAGCTTTTTGGGCATGTTTTCCAGACAGCTACACAGTCCACACTACCACAGCTAGACTGCTACTAGCTCCCCAGCTGACTAGTTTTAAACCAGCTCAGGTATGTCCATGACTGCAGCATAGACATACCTAAGCTTTTAACTCATTTAAACTTCTATTTAAATTCATACTGCCTCAACTTCCACATTTCTAACAACTTGGAATTAAAGCATGCATCATCACCATACTGTGGAGATTAAACATTTGGGGTACAATAAATTAATAGCATTTTAAGTATAAAATTTATGGTTCTTCTAAGATGTGAACTGTGTTTAACAAAAGTAATGAATATTGCTGGCTATGTGATGACCCCTCCCTCATTCCTTCCAGAAGCAGTTCAGTGAGTACCAGATGTATGAGGTGACTATCTGTCCTGAAACTCTGCAGAATAGAGTAAGTTTATACATGGATATCCAAATACTTCAAACATGTCAAGGCCTTACCCTCTATCTGTAGACTAAGGGAAAAGTCCACTGATTCCAGTGGACATTTTTCCTGCATAAATATCACTATACATATAGTACATTTTGTAACACAGAGCAACTTGGAAGGAATGCCAGCTGAACAATGGCATTGCCTGGGTCCAGCAAATTAATTCCACTTCACCCCATAACCTGAAGCTCAGTTAAGGACTGAAAAAGTACGCAAAATTCTTGACTACTTTTATTTTTTTAACCAATTTTTGGGAAGCCGATTATGGTTTTTACCTAAAAAAGCCATAAATTTGCGTACAATTTCAGTCACATTCATCACAGTGGTAATTCAGCTGAATCAGGGTTCATTTCACCAAACGGCTGGATTTCATCTTTTAACAGACATCCGAACATATTATAGCCTTTCATTTAACATTTTAATACCAATTTGTTTACACCAGAGATCCGTATGTTCACTTCCACTCACTGTACATAAAACCTCCTGTCTGCTTATATAAGAAACTTGGGAAAGTGGATCTTCAAGGCCCCATCATATCAAATGCTCCATCTCATGGCAAGGGCTCATGGCATGTGCTACAAACCAAAGGACACTCAAGCAGCATTCTTTCTTTCAATACCAGGGATTTGCATACCACTTTTCTTCCTTCCGTTTTGAGAGAGAAGTCATTCAGCATGTCAACCTTTGAAATGCTATGGGGATGATGGGCAGAGCAGAGATGGAGGAGGTGTTGTGCTGTAAGATGTTAAGGGCTGCCATCAACCAGTCCTTTGATCTAGAAACACTTCCAGACCTGCTTAAAACTGCTGGGTCTGCTAACCAGATGGCAAGGACTCTCTCTGCTCCCAGTTTCTCCGTCTGATTTTTCAATTCCCATTAAAATCAATGAGATTCTGCTCCCTTCAGAATTTGAACTTCCCTTCAAGTTTTGGAATTGTTAAATTATGAAAAGCTAAATTCAAGAAGGAACAAAATGCTGACAGGTGTATAGTATTGCTTGACATTGCAAAAGCATCATTCACAATTCCTCCCTCTCCTCTCTACCACTTCACATGAAAACCCTAAAATTACACTGGATTAAAACAGGTTCATCTGAGGCCAGAACTAGGTAACAGCAAGAAAAGCTGGTGATTTCACCAGAAGCAGCATGCTGGCTACTACTAAATATTTTGGCATTTTTCATGATTTGATATCGAAACAGCTCTGCCTCTGACCTAAGGGTTCTAGTTAGCTGTTTAACTTCTGCTAGTCTCAGAATAAAAGAATGCAAACCTGGGACATAACTACTTTATCTTGACACGTTCGTGCAAGAAAACTACAGCAGCTCCTTTTCACAGCCCTAATGAAATGTTTTGTGCCCATGTGTATGTTATAACACAGCAATTCTGTTTACTTTATAGGCTTATAATAAAAAAATGACACTTGATGAGCTACATGATAGTATTTCAACAATACCTTGTTGTGACATGATACAATGTAATTACTTAGCAGGAGATACTACAATTTATTGTTATGTCACTGAGTCATACCCTTCAGGGCCTCAGATTGTTGTCTTAATTTGCTTTTTTAAAGCCATATAGACTACCAAGCTAAGTCAAGGGATGCACTAAAACATCTCAGAAATAAAGACATAGACTGAACATGCACACAGCTGTGTGTTTGAAAACACTTCCCCAACCCTTCCCCTTTCCTTTTTTGTTTTGTTTTTTACAGCATTATTGACTGGGTCTATAATAATCAAAGAGAACAGACATTCCAACCCAAACATACAAAACCCACAGGTATATTACATTTAGGGTCCTATTCAGGCAGTTAAACACACAGACTGGTCCTACAGAGCTGGAGATACTCAGTCCCTACCACTAACTTTACCAACGAAAAAAGGTAATCGGAATCCCACAGGATGACCTCTCCATTTACAAGTATCACTGGCTTTTCATCTGTCCACACAGTTTGCATTGGACAGGGCCTTGCCAAGCACAGCATTCCCCTCTTCCTTAGCCTCATGTTTAGGTACCATGCATCAGTCAGGAGAGGACAGGACTTTATATGGCACACTATAACCAGTGTAAACACACTAGTGGCAGCAACTTTCCCTAACCAATGGAATCGAGACAGTCAGCCAAGATACACTTTTTCAAAAAGTATTGCTTCGAGTGAAGTCCATCGGCCTATTCGTGGGTATGAGGTAAGTGCCTCCCATCGCACAGACGGTGCGTGCAGTGCACCCCGCCGAACACTGCCCCGGGCAGCAAGGGCAGATCCAGTGCCCCGCTGGTCCCCGCGCCCCCCGCGCCAGGAGCGCCCCCGCAGCGCGGCCCCCCGGGCAGGGCAGGGCAGGGCAGGGCAGGGCAGGGCAGGGCGGCACCGCCGCTCCCGCTGCGAGGCAGCGCGGAGAAGGGGCGGGCTGGGTCACGCACACACACCTGCCCGGGCCGGTGCCAGACACACGGCTGGGCAGGCAGGGGCGGCACGGGTGGGGAAGGGAGGGAGGAAGGGAGGGGACCGCCGCCTCAGGCGACGGGGGGCCGAGGCGCGGGGAGCTGGCAGCGCCTCTCCCCGCCACCCACTTTCCCTCGTGCCGGAGGCGGGAGAGCACCCAGGGAACGACGGACTGAGCGCAGCCGTAAAATCCACCCCGGCAAGGGCCCCAGCAGCCGGCGGTCGCGGCGGGCGAGCCGCCAGGCTGGGGCGGAGCCGGGCCGACACCTCTGCCCCACGCCCGCCGCGCTCTGGCCCTCGCCCGGCCCCGCCACCTCCTCGGCGCGACGGGGCGCGGCGCGGGCAGCCCGCGGCGGCAGGGCCGGGGGAGCCGCCGCCCAGCTCCGCGCCGCCCCGCGCTCTTTCCCAGCCCCCGCCGGCAAAGCCAGCTCGGCGGCAGCGGCCCAGCGTGAGCACCTCCCTTCCTTCCCCCCCGGGTGCTGGGTGTTGCTGTTGTTTTGCTGCCGCCGCCGCAGGTCGGCCAGGGTGGACGCGGAGGGAGGGCAAGAGGGAGGGGTGCGCCCTGCCGCGGGGCCAGTGCCAGGTGCACGCCTCTGCCTTACACACGGACGGGGAGGAGGAGCTGGACGGGCAGGTTTCTCAGTGGGGCGGCCCCGCTCCCCTCCTCTCCCCTCCCCGGACTGCTGGGGATAATTAGTGTCTGTGCGAGGCTGTCTACCCCCGGGAGGCTGGGCGGGTGCGCAGGCACTGCGTGCCCGGCTGGTGAGCGGTGATTCGCCCCGGCCCCTCGGCGGAGCCTCCACCCTGCGGGCGGGGATCCGCCCGGCCGCGCTCCCCGCCGTGACCCTCCCACCGCCACTCACCCCGCCGGCCCGGAGAGCCTGGCAGGGCGAGCGGCGCCGGCGTCATGTGACAGCGGGGCCCGGTGCCAGCAGCCCGGGGGGAAGGCGAGCAGGCGGGCGGAGGGCGGGAGCGGGGCGGCGGGCGGGCAGCTCCTCCTCGCACACACACCCGGAGCCACCGCCGAGGCGCCTCAGCCGCGGGGACGCGGGACACGCCGGCCTCGCGCTTCGGAGCCACCGGAGCGCCCCAAGCCCCCGCCACCTACCGCGGCCCCCGGCGCTGCGGGAGCCGACGGAGACCGGGCGCGCACCGCACTGCCCGCCGAGCGTAAGTTTGATGGGGGGGGGATGCGGGGGCCGGGCTGTGCCGGCTGCGGGATGGAGGTGCCGGAGGAGGAAAGTTTCCAGGCGCTGGGAGCAGCGTGGAGCCCGAGGCGGCAGGGGATGGGATGCCGCGGGAGCCGCCGCCGCGCCGGGGGTGGCGGGAACTGTGTCTCCGTCGGGTCGCAGCTGCGGGGAGGGGGGAAGCAGGACTGGCCTCGGGGTTCGCGGGGTTCTCGGCAGGGCGGGGGAACTCCGTGCGCGGCCGGGGGGAGCCGGGGCTGCGTGCCGCCGTGTCCGCCGGGCGGGCAGCGCACCTGCGTGGCCAGCGGGGCCGCTCGGGGGGCGCCTCCCCCGCTGCCCTCCCCCGCGGCGGAGGCTGAGGCCCTCCCGCCCGCCTGCCCAGGGCGGGCGGGCCTGCGGGTCGCCCGCCCCTCGGGGCTGCTCTGCCGCCTGCGGAGCTGCAGCTCCGACATCGTGCCGGAGCGGGACAGGCAGCTTCGGGTAGAGACTGAAGAGCCATCAGATCCCGGGCGGGATATAGCGCCCGAGCAAACGGAGGTGGAAAGCTTAGCGGTCTCAGTCGGCTCCGCGGGCGGCGGAGGGGATGCCGGGGCAGAAGTTCGCCTCCTGGCCGTGCCCCACCCGCAGCGCGGAGCGGGTCGGCAGCGCCGTGTCCCCAGTTTAACTCCCGGTGAAGTCAAGGGTGAAATCAGCGCCCAAAAATCTGTCCCTCGTATTGTCACCTCACCTTAGCAGCGTTCGGCCGCTGTGCCGGCGAAGGTATAACGTGGAACTGCCCGGCAGAGAAGTGTGGAGTTAGAAATAACCGCTGTAATCACCTTCCCTTTGATGGATGCCGATTTGGGGGGGTTTCCTCTCTTTTTTCCCCTTTTTGTTTTTTGTTTGGTTGGTTTTGGTTTTTTGTTTGGTTTTAGGGTTTTTGGGGGACTTTGGTTTTTTGTTTGGTTTTAACCGAAATGGGAATAGGAGCTATTTGCTTTGGACCGACGTCAGGTGAGTGCCTGGCACTGCAAGGGGAGCCGTGGAAAAAAAATAAGGCTTAGCAACACGAGCCCGCCCTGGGAGATCACAGCACCTAACTGGAGGTTGGGAGAAAGACCTGTTTCAGAATAGCTCAAGTGGTCGTTCAAGAGTTATATAAAAATATACATTAAAGTTATTTTGTGCCCTTCCCTTGTACTGTACCTGCACTGTTTGCTGTGTTTTATTTGCTTCCTTGACTTTGAAAATTCAGGAAGTGTCACTGTTTGTGGAACTGACCTCGGAAGGTTTTACTGTTGGGAAAAGCTGAATTTGGATGTCTGATAGGAGAGCTCTGAAGACTTGACTTTATTTAAACTAATATGCATAAATGTACATTACCCATATTGAAAACAGGATTACATGGCTGCTCACTAGTGATTTTTCCATACAATACTTCTAAGGTACACTGACTTGATAATCACACGAGGAGTTGGTTCTTGTGTGAACGGAATTACATCTGGATTTGATAATCCTGCCTGACCCAGAAGATACTTTTTCAAACTAACTTTCTTCTTGTATTTTTAAGAATATATTGTCTGGTATCAAAATACAAAAAGCTGAAGCTGACTGGAGTAGCCTTTTTTATTTTTTCACAAGGAGGGTCACAAACAAATTTTTTTCACAATATTTCTTTCTTTTTCTTTTCTTTTTACCCTGTGCACCCTGTTATTGCCATGTCTCAGACCATGAGGGAGACTGGGGGTAGGGGCAAGGGGGGTGGGCAGAAAAGGATACTAAGCAGTCTCTCTCTTCCCTGAGAATCCGAGCAGAATTCCCTCCAAGTAGCAGAGCTACGAGTGAGCCCTTAGGTACTGTGAGGATTTGACCTAGGTACCACCTGCTTAGCCAAAAGCAAAATCTTCAGATAAATAACGATGTAAATGTGAGTTTAGTCGAAGGCTCAGAGGTAGTAGAGATGGGGGTTATACAACCACCAAATTATTTATATTTCCAGTTATTCAGCATGGAGAAAGGAACTGATACTATTGGCGTCAAATCAACACCCACACATTGCTGTGTAGATGCTGTACTGGCCAGTTGTCACCCCATGTGCATTTATTAAATTCCAGCCTTCAAACCCCGCATTAGTGTTACTGTGGTAGTCATCCACGTAATTTGCCGCAACATGTTCTCACATTGGATAGTATTAGGTGTCCCACCCATGGTATATCAATAACCAGTGCAAAGTATGTAAGAGAAGACAGTATTTGAAACAATTGCTTTGAAGGAAAACAAGTGATGAAGTTATTCTACTGTATGACATCTAGACAAGATGTGCTAGTCTTCTGCCTCATGTTGTCAGCTTATTTCATTTATTCAGCTGTATATTCAGATACTTCTAAAATAAATGTATTATATCCACGGCAAATCAGGTTCTGAAATGAAGTCTGAGTGCATATGGACAGGGATGTGGAAGGCTAAGCATGCAATGGCTTAGAAAAATATTCTTGTGTTCACTGAGTGATGTTCGTCCTCAGCTGTTGAGCAGTGCTGAGCAAGAGTGAGCCACTGTCCAGGAGCAGCCCCAAGCTTTACGAATCCCTCCTGCAATGGCCTCATCCCCTAGTCTGTCCGTGAAGAAGGTGCTCACTGTCAGGCTCAGTGCTGCCTCTTTGATGTTATGAAGCTGTAGCTGTGTTCAGCTACTGGCATTCTGTAAATACAGTAATGCACCAACTGGTCGAAGGGAAGGTTTCAGCAAATCCTCATGACTTGTGGTGTCTAAAAATCTCCTGTTTCCTCACGTTAAGGGAGCCTGTTTGTAAATAGGGCAGGTCCCCTGCATAAGGACAGTGTTTTTATTCACACCCAATGAACAAACACCTCCACCCACTGTTGTTGTTTTAAAAGACTCCAGCTGCTCATGAATATAGGGTCAGGGAGGGCTGCCTAAATGTTTCTCTGTGCTTTCTCCCCAGCGCAGCCAGCAGAGCTGTTTCCTGTTCTTTGTTTCAAGGCTGGGGTTTGCGTCACACATTCCAAGTGGCATATGTGGTGCTCTTTCCTGTTTCAGGCTGTTTTCTGGCAGTTTGGTAGCTTCATCCAGGCCCCTTGTCACTGCCCCTCAACTTCCAATCCCCACCCGATGAGTTATCATGTCTCTACACACTCAGGATTGCTTAAGATGCCTGTGTTATGTCATAACGAGGTTTCCAAGTTAACCTTTAACGCACGCCCTCGACTCCAATGTAGTTCTGGGAGTGAACTGGAGAGCTTTGCTCCGTTCGCTGAAAACTTGAACTCAAGTCTCCAGAAAGTTATGAGCCAGTTTTCTGCTCTCGCTCGCTCATCAGCTGATCTGGAATATCTCCATTAAAGTCACAGAGTTGCACTGATCTATAAAGAGTATGAGAAGAAAATCCACATCTGTCAGCTTGTACTTATAAGAGGGTTTTGGCTTCTGCCCTTACCCAAGCTGAATGGTCCACCATAAGCACTTTGTATTTCCAGATCTCAAAAAGTATTTTCTTTTTATACAAACTAGAAGATTCGCTGTCCTGCAGATGTAATACAGAAAATGAGACATTGCTAGTTAACTTTTCTTTGGCGTAATAAGTACTGCTGTCCCCCATTTTCTATTTTTGAAGGCATAAAATTAATTTTTTTACTCCTGTTTTATATTTATCTTTACCCCTCACCCTGTTGCAGGCAGACATGGTGAAATATTGAGAGGAAATTAAGAAAAACATAAATCTTTCTGTTCCTTTGGGTCTGACAGAAGAAGAGCTAAAGGACCCAAGCCAAAGGTCTTTGAAATCAAGAGAAAGACTTGCATTAACTTCAGTGTGCTTTGAATCAGGTCCTGGATGAAAATGCAAGATGGAGTGTTAATTCTTCTCTGTCAGTTATAGCCTGGAATATGCATAGCTTCTGTACACACAGAAATACTTCCACCCTTTCATTTTACTCCTTTATTTTTTTATTTCAATAATTTTTAAATTAATCTTTTGGTTCCTGCTCTTGGTCTTCTGGATGCTACAAGTTAGCTGTTTGTGATCATTGCAGATATCTTTTAGGAAGTATCTGAAATACACACTTTAAACTTTTTTCAGCGCTTAATTTTATGCCAAAAATAATTTTTATTGAATTATGTGCACATACTTATATCAAACTGTTTTTTGTCTGTTCAGAAATCCAGATAATAAGAAGTATTTGGCCACACAGTTTTGGTAAGTTGCTTATTGATTATTTTAATTTGTTGTTCTCAGTTGTTTTTACTTTGTTGTTTTTCTGTTCATTTTAGAACACCATAGATGAGTTTATCCATTAGAACACAATTAAATCTTCATTCTAGTACTCCTAATTTGCACAGGATTTCAAACATTTATTCTTTTTTTCCAATGTCAGGAAAAGAGTTACATTTAACTGTGTTTGGTACTGGAAACTGGTGCATAATGAATGCAGTAAATTTTGTGGTTCGCACCTTTTTGTAGCCAGAAGTTCTACAAAATAAGGAACTGAGGTTAAAATTATAATAGTTTTGTAAACCAACTTTTAAATACTAATTAACACCGCTAACAGGAGGCCTTTTAGAGTTCTTTTATGGTGTCAGCATTCAAGCTTTGTGTTTTCATTCCGAGGCTAGTTGCTTCCAATCCAGAATATGAAGTTTGGCAGAGCTAGTTTTAGGAGAGAGATTTAACTCTTCCCTGTTAAGCATTTACTTGATGTCAGAGCTTCCTTTAGGGGTTTTGTAGCTGTAGGTAGTAGTTCCCACGGAAAGGAAGTGTAAGTGTAGATCAGCCAAATGGAAAGACAGAGCTCCAACAGGTTTTTAATAGTAAACTAACTCAGAATGGAAAAAAAAATGCAACCATATGTGTGGTCTGCCTATCATAGTCAGTGTGTGTTACCAGCAAACTAACTTGATCCATGAAGGCATGACAGACTTTCCACTTTTAAAGAGTCTAAGCTGCTTTGATCACTGTCACATTTGTACCCACTCTGTATCCAGCTCTTTCCCTTGGTTGTTTTTGTTTGGTTTTTTTTTCATTTCTGTAGGTACATAGAAGTTCATCAACATTTGCCCAGTATTCACATCCTTGTTCAAATTAATTATTTAGGCTATTATTCGTAAATGTACGCTTCCTTTCTCTAGGATTAGATTTCTGTCTTCTTTCCCTTACTATAAAAAATGTAGAATCTTCTTTTTCATTTGTTTCCTGAAATAGCAGAAACCTTTGCATAAGAGAACAGTATTTTCTGTCATTCTTTCTTCATAATAAAAAGGCCTAATATTTCGCCTTTTAAATTATCTTAAAAATTAACCTCTTAAAAAAAGCACAACAAAAATAACGAAGTTAGGTTTGGAAGGGAAAGATTATCATACCATTCCACATACTTCACTTGTTTTCAAAAGTCTGATCTTTTATCCTTACTAGACTGTTTCTCCTTCTAAGAAGTAGCTTGAGACAGGAAACCAGACAGCAGTCTGCTCTGATAAGGGAGAATATTGTCTAATGGAGGTGCCTCAAGAGTTTTTTTGTTTTTTCTTCCTTCTCTTAGGTTCAGTAACTATAGAACTGAAGGTTGAACAGGGTTTACATGGGCTCAATTTTTCCTTGGTAAGGAAGACATCTTCTTAACAAGCAATTCAAGAACATTTTTGCCCCAAAATTTTTACCTACAAAAAAGCTATTTCCAGGCATGTGGCTTCAAAGAGCCTGCGACAGTATTATCGTAAACTTAAAGGAAATACCAATTAGTCTGCTACACAGGTGATAAATAATTATGTCAAAGCAGTTCTAGGTCAAACAAGGTGACATCAGCGAAGTTATGATGCACAAATTGTGCAAAAACACAGGTTTTTCAGTCTACTTGCAGGCCTGAAAGGAGGAAGGTAAAAGATTCTCAAATCTTTGCTAAAAAGCAAAAATAGTTTGAAATACTAAATAACAGAATCCTGTAGAAATGCTCTTTTTCTTCATACCTGTCAATATAACTTAAAGGAGAAAATTTTTGCCTGCATATCATTTTCTTTTACATAATATCCTAACTTTTTCAACAATTATTACTCTTTTCTAGTGGAAATCCAGTGAATGAAAAACAAAGAAGGCTGCTGATCAATGAAGCATTTTCTTGGGGTGCTAGTTCTTCATGATTCTCCCTCTGCTCTGTTCTTCATGGGCAGGCTGGTCTGGTCTCTTCCTCCAGCACCATGTCTGGACCTTTGTTCCTGCCCCCATTCTTGCTTGCTTTGACTGATTCTGACTGCTGTGCTGAGCTGGAGAGTTTCCTTGCCTGCTGCTATTTTGGGGTTGAGTGCAGTTAAGCACTTGCTTACTTCCCATTAAAGTCAATGGAACTTTAGAAACACTTTTTTGCTGACTCAGATCTTGATGAGCAACTGGTCCAGTAAGTGAAAACACATTACTAGCCCTGGAAAACTCTTTTTATACCTTCCCTATGGAATGTTGGTCTCAGAAACTGGTTTCTCTCTGTCAAACTCTCTTTCAAGGCTCCACTGAAGATGACTTCTCACCTGGGTTCAGAAAACCTCCCTACCCTTTTGGATTTCATCTATGGCGAATCTTCTGATAGTACCGCTTCTCCTTAGTACCAGGAGAAGTTTGACTTGAGGCTCACAGGAGAGTTGTTTCAAAGCAACAGCCTGAGTCCCAGAGGGCTTGGACTGAAGAGCTTTGGCTGCATGACTTGATTGCTAGATACCAACATGCTGCAAGAGCTGCAGTGTCTTTACAGAGAGCACTCATGCAGTGCTAATTTAGCAGATACCATTATATTGTTCTGTAATTATACTGACAATAACAGTCATACCTTAAAGCTTCTAGACAAAGCCTCGCTGTACATGTGGCAGCATTCCTTTGCTTCCCCCAGGCACAAAGACTGAGGAAGCAAACCCCGTATGTGCTTTCAGGCAGAGTGAAGAGAGGCAGAATTTATGGTCACCACCCCCGTCTGCCACAGGGTCAGGTCACTGACTGTTCTTCCAGGTATTTAGTGAAAGCAGAGGCTTATGTTAGAAGGACGCTTTGTTGTTGGATGCACACAGTCAAAACTGGCCCTCTGCCCCACCCTTTCCTTTCATAACAGGTTTGCAGAGTTGGTGGACCTTGAAGGTAGATGTGTAGAGCTGCTGGGAGTAGCTGCACTGCAGTCGCTCTTTTCCAGCTGCTCTGCAGTGTGGATGTGTAGTCTGGGTGCATTCTTTAACCACTTTGCACGTTTCATCTAGGGTAAATAATCCATACAAGCCCTTATTGTCTGAATGCATGTTAAGTATCTTTAAGCTTTCATTTAATTATGTCTTTGAAATAATAAACCATACACCTGTCAGAAAGTTGGTGTCAAGAATTCTTCAATCCTGACAAGGTGATAAACTCTAATGATAATGAACTTCCCTTCCGGAATAGAGACCTTGCTGTATATTGTATATTGGATCATAAGGGCAGAGTTTCTGTTGTTTCTGGCTTGCTGTCTTCACTGGACTTCAGATAGGAGAGTACTGAGGGACTTTGCCTCGACTTTACCTTGCACCTGTCCTTATTTGCATACAAAAACCAATTGCTTCATTCGTCTTTCTGAAGTACAGGGTGTGAGCAAAATCTTATCAAAAGCCATGTCCTGTTTGGACAAGTTGGACTGACTTGGCAGAGATCCACAGGGTGGAGTGAATGGGAGGAGGCAAGAAAGTAAAACTGGGTGGCTTGTTAGCTGAAAAAAAGAGAGAGCAAAAAAAAGAGAGGGTGGAATGTTTGCCTACCGGATTGCAGTTAATTATTTAGTTTCAGATTACATGCATTTTAAATTCTTTTACCCCACATGAGTAAACCCTTTAATGCAAAATAGTTTACATAATAAAGTGAAAGACAAAGACCTTATTTTTTAATAGACTTAATATGAACATATTGTTGTTGCCTCACTGATTTTCCAGAGCACCTCAGCAGTGAGAGATGGTATTTTGTTTTTCCAGAAATTAGTTGTATATACTAAACAATTTGCAGGCTTTCAAACAAATACATTCTGAAATCATGGTGTAAAGTAGAACCCAACTGTTTTTTCATTCCTCTGTAATAGAAACAGATAAGATTGTTTACCTTCCCTATTGCCCCCTTCTCACATGTTTAGGAGAGAGAGATTGGGATTTTTGGAGTTAGTAGGCATGCTTTTACAAATACACTGGGAAAAATTACCTACTTTTTAGTAAAACTAGTATGCTTTATTTGTGTGTGAGTGTACATGCATGTGGTCCAAGCTATCAATTTGGAGCATTATTTTTAAATACAAAGACCATTGTTTTGTGGGTTTATTTATAGCCTTAGGAAAGTATCCTTTTGAGCTAAATTTTAAATGCCAGATCCAAAGCTGGTTTGTAATGATTCTGTTGCAGTCCATCAAATAAGATCTGGATGGACAGGACCAAGCATTACATGCTAATTCATTTTCCTTTCTTGAAAATTGGTTTCCACTCACTATCAAATAGGCAAAATAAAACCTGCTGCTTAAGAATAACATATGATAAAAATGCTCGATTTCTCTACTGTGATGTGGTAATAAAAGTAAGTTTTTCCTCTACTGCTCTTATATGACTGCACTTGAGAAAGATTGAGAATTATTTTTCACTTTTATTCAGAGCAGTACTCTTTCTGTTGTCTGTGTCAGTCTAATTCCTACACAGTAATTTAGAGCTATCTCGGGAAACACTCAAATGTGTAGCATGACATGTCAAATGTATATCAAGTGTCTTTTCACACACTTTCTTGAAAAGGAGTAACTCTTAAATTAAAGAAATTCAGTTTTAAAATTACAAAAATGACAGAAAGTATGAGCATCACTGCATTTACTTAGAAGAAACTCCTCTTTCTTTTCCCTTCCTTCCTGCCTTCCTTCCCGCCTTCCCTCCTTTCTTCCTTTTTTTCTTCTTGCTTTCTCTCTTTCTCTTCTTTCTCTCCTTTGTTTCCTCCTTTTTTCCTTCACTAAAGTACAAATTAGTGTGTCACATTATCTATGCACATGCAAACTAAAAATTGGAAGTTTTCTGAAAACTGAAGGAATTAGTTCCAAATTCTTATATAGGCAGTCTGAGTGGCTACATTATACTATAAACATTTTTAGTGTCTAATATAACTAGGAGTATAATTTCTTTCTGTTTTCACATTGCATATATATGTGTGAGAACGAGTGATGTATAGATATGTGGATGTATTTCTGGGAAGACAGTCTTCTGAAACATCAGCTCTAGGTATGTGAAATGTTAAAACCCTGAAAAAGATAACTAGATAATGGTTATCTAAAATATAACCATTCAAAGAAGTATAGTATAATTAATAACTTTCTCACAAATGTATTTAAGGTATTTACAGAATTATCACAACTTTTTAGCAAATAATGCTGAAGGTTACACAATCGCTCCTAGACTAAAACTACGTAGTAAGTTTAAACTGGAAATTACATTAAGCTGTGTTATTTGTTCCACTTTGGTTTTGCAATTTGCTTTTGTCAGGCCTTCAACTTTTGTAAGAAGAATTATGAAAATACTTTAATTTACTTTTGCTACTTGTTTCCATTATTCAAAATGCACACTGTTGTAATATATTTTCAAAAGTCTTTAAATGTTATTTGTATGCCTGAATAATTAATGATAGACTTGTAACAACTCATGCCATCTTTCTCTGGAAGCTTTTAATAAATTTTGATCTATAAACACATTAATTGCAAGATTGTTCATTAGTGTAGGCTTGTTAGAATTTTTTTAATTTGAGCAGCTCCATCTTAAAATGTTCATTTACATTTCTGAGAGAATTTTCCAGCCACAGCTACAAATCTGTTGGTGAGCCTTCAGCCTGTTCCACGGGGTGAATTGCCTGGATGGTGGAGTCTGTCTGTATTTGCTTCTTTCCAGTGCCATCTACTGGCCAAAAGGGAATTGGTGTCGTTTATTTTTGTCCTCACATCTTAATAGAGGTCATACCACTTCCAGGCAGGACTGTGAACTGTATGGGGTGTGGTCAGAACTTGCTCCTTTAACATCAGTCATAATGTATAACGTCAAGTGATTTATAAAAAGCTTGCCAACGTCTAAATGTTATTGTGAACAACTTTCCTTTGCTTTCCTTAGTTTCTACTCTGTACCCTTATGGCTTTGCCTCAAAGAGGTATCTCCTCCTTTCCTTCACAGCATCTTTCCAAGATGACCATGACAAATGTGTAGAATGATAGTAATGAAATGCATCACACTAAGTACTTTAATTTCAGGCATTTTGAGATTGGATAAGAAAAGGCAGCTGAAACTGCACAGAATGCAAGCAGATTTTTTGAGGTGCTTTTCTTTTGCACAGTTAGCACAAATAGTTGTTGAACTGTCACTAAATCCATTATGCCATGGAACTAACTGATGCATTTTTTTATGTTGTCATTGCAGCATGTTGAATGTAGTCCAAGTTAGTCCTGGATTTTAGTTTTTATTTTGCATTGATTATCAGTATCATTGTATGTGAACTATTGAACGTTTCTGTTAGAACTCTTAGAAGAGAGATATCCTTTCCAGAATCAGTTCACTTGTATAAAGAAAATTCTTCTGAAGTTGTAATGCTGGTGAGAAATGCTTAGTCTAAACTGTGATGTGTTTAAACACTGACAGCTAATGAAAGTGACAGTTCTGTGGTCTTGGTATGCTGACATGCACAATAAAATTCAAATTAACTTTTGTTAAATTGAGCAAATGTCTCTTTGTTTCAATAGCAGTTTGGAAAGAATGAACTTACAATAAATAAAATATTTAAGCTTAGTCAAATATTTAAGAATCTGTGTTAGAGATTGATAAGTATTCACTTTAATCTGACAAAATAGTAAGTTCTCTACAATTCAGAAAGTTGATTAGGGTGGCTTTCTAACGCTTTGTCTTTGCCTTGCAGACCAGGACATCAGAAGCATCAGAACAGGTGAATAAAAAAGATGCTAATGTTTGACCCAGTCCCTATCAAGCAAGAAGCCATGGAGCCTGTTTCAGTGGTAAGACTTTTAAAATATATTGACCTTTGTGATGACTGGTTTTTTCATCTTTAAGTCATACTAAGATTTCGTTAAGCTTTGGACTAGTTGGGAAAGCTTGTGAAGCTATGTTTTGCTCTTAATGCACTCAGATTCACATTCTAAGAAAACTTTCTGTAGTTTATTAATTTATTGCCTTAAATGACCTGACCCATTGCCTGTCAGATTTTCTCTGGGGATGGGAGCAACAGCAAAGTTTCAATAGCTCCCATCTCCAGAACAGAGGAGAGAACATCCAGGAACTTGTGAGCTCTGCAAATATGATCTCTCTTGTTTGTGGTGCTGATGGAGATGGGTTGAAATTAAGTTGCTGTGCTTCACAGTGAAGTGACAAGAGCCTGTGGTTTCAGTGTTACACCTTTGAACTAAATGAACAGCTTCTCACTGTCCCTTTTTCTTTTTCTCTCTTGATTGTGACAACACGTGCCTGGGGCAAACTCTGTGCTCTAAATCTAATCCTAAAAAAAAAAAACAACAACAATGGCTTTTTGCTGGGTAAACTAGTTGCACTGCTTTACCATGTGAACAGCTGAGAACTAGGGCAGTGGAGAAGGAACCCAGGGGAAGGGGGGGAGAAGAGACACTACTTTAAAATTGGATTCATTTTCAGTGAATTTGATATATAAGGTCATCTCAGAGAAGAGTCTGATAAGTAAGAGCGGCAGGGACGTGTAGATGGGAGCTGTAAAATGAGAGTTGTGAAGATACAGGCTGCTGCTGAAGGGAAGGTTTTGGCTTTTCTCCCTCCTTGCCAGCTTTGTGTCTCCTTTGTGCGACTGAAGAATTGTGTGGTGCTAGAATGATTTGTATCAGCTCACTGAATGGTCAGAATTGCTAACCCACCAAAAATACTCATTTTTTGGTCAGATTGGGAAGCTGATCTGACTCATTCTGTGCAGCTGCTCAATATTTAAGCAAGGGGAGTGGGGAGGATGAGAGAACGGGGCCTCCCCTTTCAGCAGTAGCCCACAATAACATCAGATTAAGTGTAACATGAAACTACACCCCTAGAAAGGCTGATCAATTAAAAGGGTGAAGTCAGCTTACATAACTTAGAGTGCATTAAACTCATGCTCTGAATGGCATCTTTTGATGGAAAGTTTGTTTCCTGTTTTATTTAAAATATAGAATAATTTTCATAAATTTAAATGCATCTGTAAGCAGTCTGATTTCTTCAGTGCCACTGATAACATATTTTGGGAATTAAGTTTATGTGCATTTTAAAATTACAGTTTGACTTTCGTGGGGTTTGTTTACTTGAGAGCAATGATAGAAAAATAGCTGTCACTGAAAGTGTGAATATGATGAATTCTAATATTTGGATCGGGAAAGAACCTTAGTATTGGCCAGTCTGTCTGTCAGTTTAATCACAATTATTGTGTAACCTTATTAGCGATGATTATCTAAGGATATCTAATGGTGTCCATCAAAAGCAGAAAATGGTCTGGTTTTAGGAAAAAAATGCTGTTACTGTCTTTTGGGCCATCTTTTGTGGACATCTGCCTTCATCCCCCAAAGAAAGTTCTGCAGTGGCTTGCGGTGATGCATGAGGTGCACAAATGCCCCAAACAGACTTGTACTTCTGCAAGATGGACAGGCTTGGTACCTCAGGAGGCTCACCAGGAAAGGAGCAAGCAGTCTTTCCCAGACGAACAGATGAAGGAAAAACTGCAAGGGGAAGAACAAGGGAGCATTTCTGAGCCCAGTGCATTTCAAGACTGTAGTTCCAAATGTTGCTTCTCATCCTTCTCGTAGTGGTGTGGTGTCTTCCATGCATTGGACCTCTGGAGTGTTCTTACAACTCAGTGTGATCCCTCTGACCGGCCATTAGGGACTACTCAGAGCATTTTACCAAATCCATATGTTTTTGTTTTTGTTATTACATAATGAGAAAAAAAAGGACAATATAAAAAGCAGAAAGTCCAGAAGAAAGCATGTTTTTTGAGTGAGGTTCCCCTCATTGGATACTACTCTGGTTTCCCTCAGGCTAAAGACCATGTGCATTTCAGCTTATTTACATGCACAGGCTGTTTAGCCCTAAGCCCTCGAGGTCCCTAGCTCTTCTTGGTCTTGTGGCTTCCTTGGAGCCCTGCTGCCACATGGTCCCATCAGAAGCTGCTCTGGAGGCACCTCTCATGGGAGGAATTGTGATATGGAGAGAACACAGAAAAGGATAGCACCCACTGACTGGATTAGTTTTCTTGACCACCTTTTGAGGAGGTGGAATGGAAAAGAAACTGTCAATGTGAGGTTGTGGAGGTGCTAAGCATATCACTACAGGCTGACATAACCCAGAAATCTAAAATCAGGATTATTTTTATTGCATCCTTCATTCTAGTAGTATCGTTAGAGGCCAAATTAAATTGAGCCCCTTAGGAATTATTCACTCTTCTATCTGAACATACACTGTAGGTGTAAAGTCTGTCTTTAAAACATACCATTAGTTGGAGTGGGAGAAGGAAGTTAATGATTTTGACACCACTGTATTTCAGCGTGTGTGGATGAAAGGATTAACTTCTTCTGAGGTGACTGAAGCTCGCACTCACAGTATTTCATCACTCTACCAACAGCTCATGCCATTTATTGAAATGAATTATTGAACACATCTTATGATAGTTCTTAATGAACCAATGACAATGTCATCTGAGTCCTACCTAAATATTTGCTGCAAGGACTTTTTAAACATTTGGACAAATACCAGTTACCATTTGGTGAAATAAGTTGCTCTTTTGTGAGTTACCATCTTTATTTGAATTTAAATTGAATTGAAACAGTTTTTCTTTGTGTAGGAGAGAAAGTGCCTGACCAGGGAAGACTCTTGGTCAGGCACAAGAAGTATGACACTGTGAGTCATTATGATGGGATTTGTTGCTAATAGAGTATCTAAATATTGCCAATGGAGTATATAATATAGTCAGGTCTAAAGGTTATAATACGTACATAAGCAGGTTCAGCTAGAAACATGCAGGTTTGTAGTCCTTGGCCTTGCAGCATGTACAATTCCAAAGGAACAAAGCATCCGTGGAACTACTTTAGGATTTTATCTCTGCATGTGACTGAATCTTGGCACTTTTACTCACCTGCTCAAAAATGAGTGTTCCAGTCTTTGCTCTTGATGTACTATGCAGACCTCCCTGCTGTAAGAGGGGGAATCTGTCTGGAAGCTGCCTACAACCTTGGGAGACCAGTTGGCCCCATCTCCAGCAGCATTTTTACCCTTTTGCAAGCCAGTGTGCACCAAAGTCTATCTCAATCATCAGAGCTCCCCATCATGGAATGCATTAACTGTGTGAGTATCCAGGCAGTTACTGCTGCAATTCCCACCTGGCGTTCTTGTCTTAGGATAAGGTTACACCTTGGGATGCTTGTTCTTTAATAGACTTTGTGTCTAAAAGCATTTAAGGTTTAAATTGAGCAAGCTTTTTCCTTTCTAGCATTCTTGCAATGAAACAAATGTTCATAGGTGGTGACGTTGTGGTCGTCCCTGACAAACCTGCAGCACTCTAAATGCACTGATGTTTAGTGATGGAATGTTTAATTTATTGAAGCTGGGTGAACTTTGTGCTATAAACGAATAACAGCAATTCTAACAGAAGTACTTAATATTACATGTTTTTTTCCAAGAGGCTGGCCAAATTTTAAAGTTAAATTAACAGAGTTGTGTAGTTTATAAAAGACTCGGTGAATTGCTTGAAAATCTGCTCACCTGTACAAAAAATAAGATGTTATACTGTGGCAGTATAACAGAATTTGGCAAATTATATTAGAGTAGTGCTTGGTAATGTCCTCTTGTGGAAGCAATAGTCGTTCCGAATGGTAATAGGAGTGCATGTGAAATATTTGGGCAGTCTTTATGCTTGACAGATTGACAAGAGGGGAAGCATAGTGATTTTCCTTTAGGATTTACTATTTTAATTGTATGAGCCACATGGATACAACTCAAAAATATGAGAAGTACCTTTGATTTATTTTCTAGTTTCTTTGTAGCTTCAGTGCTCTGAGTTTTATATGGACAAACAGCAAAGAAAGGTAAATGAATTGCTTTGTAAGATCCAAAGAGGGAAAGTGATGATACCAAACATAAAAAGAGCCAGATGGGGACTGTAAGGAGATATATATTGAAGTACAATCTTGCATCATTATAATGATCTACTGTCGTGACATACTGTTCTGCCTAAGGATGTTTGGGAAAGCGGAATTTACAGGAAAGTGAGAATTTGTTGGGTTTTTTTCAATCCCAAGTCAGATCAAACTCCTGCATATGCTGTTAATTCCCACAGAAGAAATCCAAGGAAAATGCATCGCCTTAAATATTTTAGGAACACAGAGCAATGGTGTCTCATTTTCTGTAATTCCACTAGAATACTTTTCCTAATCTAGGACAGGTGAGAGAAGATTATTTTTGCAGACTGTGAAATACACTCCTGCTTCCTGCACTTGGTGGCATTTAGAAAACTAAACAGACGTAGTTGGGCTTTTTTTTATTTGTTTGCTGTAAATAATGCTCCTTATTTACAGAGAGAGACTGTGAAGTCTTCCTTATTCTCCCGTCCCATATCCTCAAGGGGTGCTGTCTGCTTCCCTAGCAAAGAAAAACAAAGCTACACCAAATTTGAAAGCAATGGTTCATATCAACCTAATGGCAATCACTGTGTACCGGGACCTAGAAACTGAAACTTTGCTGTGCTAAAAGATGCAGGAAGTTTAACTTCAGAGCCAGGTTAGATCTGAGTGTGACTTACTCCAAATGAACAGGTTTTCCACCAGGCTTCATCGGTAGGGAAGCAAAACTGTTTTTCTCCAGTGTCTGATTGACAGCAGATATTTTCTTTTTCATTGTTCTAGCATCCTTCTCAACTTTTTCACGCTTTTTTCCCCAAAAACATAATTTGTCATACCACATTTTTCTGTGACAACTTCATCTGCGGTTCAGATAGAATAGCAATTAAAACTGCAGAAGGAAGAAAAGTGTAGGAAAATGATTCAGCTTCTCCAAACTGCCAGAAAATATAGCTGATACTAAATCTGTGCCAGCTTAATTACAACAATGAAAACCTTCTATGCAAGATAATGCAAGGCATATGGGGTAAAATACCAAGTCCCTAAAATAATCACTTCTTTAAAACATCATTATTTTCTTTCTAATTCTTGGAAAGTATTTCTTGCTTATCTAAATACATTCTACTTAAATTTTCTAATTTAGAGTTCTCTGCACAACATTTTAATACTTTGGTATTTTTTTCAACATGCACACCCACCTCTGGTGTCGAAGAGTTGAAAGAGGGTAACTGTTCATATAGAAAGGTTACAGCTGACCAGCAGCCTTCTCTGAGATTTAAATTGCACAGGCTTTTTCCTTTCTAGCATTCTTGCAATGAAAGAAATGTTTGTAGGCACTGGCATTGTGGTCATCCCTGACAAACCTGCAGTACTGTAAAATGCACTGATGCTTAGCAGTGGAATGTTTAATGTCATTTGTTGAAGCTAGGTGAACTATAACCCAATAACAGCAAAAACTGTAAACCAATAACAGCAATTTTAACAGAAGTACTTAATGTTTTGTTTCTGTTTAAATTTTTAATTTTTTTCTCAGATTTAATAGGTAGTAAATGCTGTTAAATATTAAATTCTATCAATATTTGCTGGTCTTCATCAGTTAGAATGGTAATGATTTTGTTCCTTGGCTCAGCAGTGCTGATGAGTCTACAGACAGCACTGCTTGCAATAATGGCATTTTAATAAAATTCTGAGAAACCAGTTACCATCAAAGACGAATGTTTTTATAGATCGAATTTGTAAGAATAGTCATAAAGAGAATAACGTTTCAGAGGTTTTAATGTAATATTTACTGTTTGAAGATTAATCACCATTGTGTATGCTGCTTTGTTTGAATATTTTATGGAAGAGGTGACTCAGCTTTGTTGTTTTATCACAGTGCTTTGAATGCAGCAGGAAAATTTTATATTTTTTAAACTCACTATTTCAAACACTAACTGAAAAGAAGAAAACTACATTTGTGTCATTTCTCAAAAGCACTTTTAGTTAACATTGAAAACCAGGAAGACGTATTACTAGAGGTTTTTACCACAGGAAAAAATAATTGAAATGTTATGGAAACAATTATATAAAAATACAGTAGTTTTATACTTCTGGTCTGTTTCACTTTCTACCATTTTGAACATTTTTTTAATCCCACTCATCAAAGTAATTTTGGTGTCAAAGAATTAATCAGTTTTTTAAGATTAGTGTGAAACTGCTTAGCCTTGATGTGAAGGGTTACTTAACTAAAATCCAGAGATAGCATTTTATTTTAAAAAATTGACAACAGGACTAAAATTCTGTGTTCACTGCTTGTTCTGTGTCTCTCTATGCTATGTTAGAACATCTTATCTGTTTCTGCAGTAAATTAGCTGTTAGTAAACAACCTCAATTTTCAACAGTTTTTAAATGCAAAATTGGTCTGGATAGTTGTTTAATAATACTGTATTCTGCAGTGTATGTTAATACTTCTTGGTTTATAAAAATAATTAGTATAAATAACATAATAATATATAAAATTGTTGTTAAAATATGGAGATCATCACATAGGTCAAGATTGGCTTTGGGGTTTATATTGTAATGAGAACTGCTAGCTACCATTAATAGGAATATTCTTCCAAATGTTTATCTCTATACTTTTTTTCCAAAATCAGACTGGCTAGTTATCTGCTTTATACTCAAAAAAGGTTTAGAAAGATTTAGAATTTTCCTTTTGCACTCTTCAGTTTCTCACCCATTACTTATATATTGTATTTTTTATTGATTGTTGGGTTCAGATACATCATTTCTTGCTTTAGCAATTGATTGTTTAGCAATTACCGTAGCATTTGATTGGGACCTATTACTTGGAATTTTAAGTCAAATTTAACTCCCCTCTTGCTAGAATTCTTGACCCTCAGTATATACTTCTATGCTGGGCATTAGCAGCATGTGTCTCCCAGATCAGTTAAGAAATACACAGCTTAGTGTATAACAAGCAGTTTTTAAGGGAGAAAATAGTTGAATAAGCCTTGAAGATTTGCTTTCATAATCTGTTTTACATTGCTTCTGAAACAGTGAATCAGTACTTGAGTAACTTCCTTTGTGTGGAATCTTAGGCTTTATTTAATTCACTTTTATTTAGAAAGTACAATAAAGTACAATAAAGTGCTCTCATTAAACTTTTTTATTTTGCCTCAGTTTTATTAGCTGTCTTTCTTTTTCAGCAGTAACTGTGTGATTTATTATTTGATTTTCTTTATTTCTTTTCCACTCCTTCTGACAGTCATACCCATCCAATTATATGGACCAAATGAAGCCAAACAAATACAGTGTCATTTATTCTACACCAAGCATGTTGCACAATAAATTCTACTCCAGCCCTGAAGGACTATCAAATGGAATCCAGATGGAGCCAGTAGACCTTACGGTAAATAAACGGAGCTCACCACCTTCGACTGGAAGTTCTCCATCCCCACTAAAATTTCAGACTGTACATAGGAGAACTTCACCTGGATTGACTCTGTCCTCACCCAGCTCGCCTCTCAGTAAATTCACACCATCACCCCCAGGAGTACAGCCTATTTCTATGCCAATAACAATCCCACCTGTAATGGCTGCTGCTCTTTCACGCCACGGACTGAGAAGCCCTGGAATACTCCCAGTTATACAGCCTGTTGTGGTCCAGCCAGTTCCTTTTATGTATGCTCCCCATCTCCAGCAACCCATCATGGTGTCCACAGTTCTTGCAGATGAGATGGAAACTCCGAGTAGCATGCAAGGTTGGTGTTGTCAGAGTTCTTTTTTATGCCGTCTCATACTGTGAAAATAACACAATATCCAAGCACTTGTTTCCTGTATTTCTTTGCATTTTAGGAAATGGAACATAATTCCTGTTCTTCCAAAATATTCAGGCATAGAATTTGTTTTGCAAATATTTTACCAAACGTACCAAGGTTACAGAATCACAATATGACTTAGTTTGAAAAGACCTCTGAGATCATTGAGCCTAACCTTTGACCAATCACCACATTGTCAACTACACCATGGCACTGAGTGCCACATCCAGTTTTTCCTTAAACACCTCCAGGGACGGTGACTCCTCCACCCCCCTGGGTAGCCCATCCCATTCACCCTTTCTGTGAAGAAATTCCTCCTGATGTCCAACCTAAACCTCCCCTGGTGCAGCTTGAGGCCCTTGCCTCTCATCCTGTTGCAAATTGCCTGAGAGAAGAGACTGACCCCCATGTGGCTACAGCCTCCTTTCAGGTAGCTGTAGAGAGTGATAAGGTCACCCCTGAGCCTCTTCTTCTCCATGCTAAATAACCCCAGCTCCCTCAGCTGGTCCTCTTAGGACTTGTGCTCCAAGCCTTTCACCAGTTTCGTTGCCCTTCTTTATACCTACCTATACCTATAAAGCTGTTTAACTACTGAGATTTGGATTGATAAAAATATTGGACTGATGAAAATGAATAGAAGTGCTTTGAATCATAGGTCATCAGGAGATAGACTAAAACTGGAAAATTTTGTATTTAGCATGAATTGTCACACTAAATATAGAACTGATGGATTTCTTTTGTTTTAACTATAGATTTTTATGTATATTTTTTATTTCCATAACTCTTCATATTTTTTATGTATTGCCTTCCCTCTCCTACCCTCCCCCATACAGTGCCTGTCATTGAATCTTATGAGAAGCCTACACTGAAGAAAACAATCAAAGTAGAACCAGGAAGTGAACCATCGAAGACTGACTTCTATCCTGAACAAATGTCACCTCCAATGATGACCTCATTGTCTCCCCAGCAAGTAATGTTGCAAGAGTAAGTAGCCAACAGTAGTTCCTGTTCAAGATCAGCAGAAGAATGGAAAGCAGTTCACTGGAGTATTTACGAGTTTTGAGGAGTGGGAAGGATTGTTGCTGTACTTTAGAACATGTGGTAAATACAGAAAAACATTCTTTCCTCCCACCACTGCCACTGTGAAATGTGATTTCAACTTTTTTTTCTCCCTTCTTTAGCAATATGGGAGTTGATACATCTTTATATATCACAACCACATAGATCTGCCATTTATATAACACATTTCTGAAATGATGATAGTCCCAATCCTACAGTTTACTGAGAATAGAACTCCCAGTAAACCAGTGATAATCTGTTTATGTAAAACCAGCAGCAAACTTGAAAGATAGCTAAAAGAGATTTCATACTGATCTCTGTATTTACGTTACTTGAAATATCTTTCTTTAAAATGAGTGTTGTGACTTTCTCTTCCTGGAGGACTTCTTTGTTTTTTCAAAAATTTTGGCTGGTTGGTGGAAAGAACAACTTTGGGCTTACAAGTTCTCTGTATATCCAGTGAAATTCCATGTTTACCCAAGGCCATTGTTCTGTGGGTGATATTTTTGGCAGCTCAGGTAGTTTCTGAAGCTGTCCTTCCTCACAGCCACTTGTTTCCATCCCAGTACTAACTTGTCGAGCTGGTATAGCCTTTACCGGGGCCACTGCATGAACTAGATCACAGATCTAATTGGGTTTAAAATAGTACTGTTTGCAGAAGGCAGGGCAAGGGCTGTTTGAAGGCAGGGCAAGGGCTAGAAAGAAGAAATTAGTAAACCTTCTCATTGAAACCATTAAAAATTTCTCAGGAGGCATCTGAGCAGCCATGGGCATCCTTTCCATTTCCTGTTTTCCTAGGGAAAACTCTGTCAACTTATTAAAACCATGGAATGGCCCAGAGCCCAGCTCATCCTTCAGCAGGCAGTGCTCTGGGTAAGCATGCAGGCTGCCAGCGTGGCCTTGGCAGGAGCTGAAGTTGGAACTGAGCACAACTCATAGCACATAAGCTCAGAATCCATTTCTGCCCTTTCTTCCTGCTCATTGAAACCCTTGGGGCACTTATATTTGACCTCACCTCATAGAGTAGGGAAAAAGGGCTCCAAACCACACTCTCAAAACCCAGTGTGAGTGTGATTCAGAAAGAGAAAGGAAGCGTAAGGCGAGTGGTCTCCTGCATTTCCTTCAGCAGGCTGCCTCTCCCTCCTGCTCGTGGCCGTTGGGTTAGAAGGCACACTGCAGCTCCAGGCCTTCTTGTGGGCACCTCTCCTTGGCTTCAAACAAGCTTCAAACAGCTAGCTTTTATAAACTATATGCTGTTAATTTTAAAATAACCTTATATGTTTTATTATAGTAAACATACAATAGTAAACATCCATGCTTACTTACCTTCCATAATGGACCTGCCACACAAGGCAGTCAGGTCTTGGAACTAACTACTGCTAAGTCAGGACTATCAAATGTTTCAGTTTAGTTTTTGTCTTTGTTAAGCCTCTTTAACAAGAGCAAACCAGTAAGTGCTGTTCCTGGCTGGTACCACACCCTTCCTCCAGGGCTGAGACTTCTACAGACTTGTCACCTGCATTAGTGATTTGCATTATAAAGTTCCCAATGAGTCCAGTTTCCACAGGAAACCCATCCGCTGAGCAAAGAATATAAAATTTGGTATACTGTGTAGATAGCTTTGTTACAAAAAAAATTTCTGTAGTCCATGTTTCCAAAGCATCTCCTCTGCTTGCCCATACAGAGCATTATGTTTATGGAGACCCTGTCCTTGCATTGTAACAGCTTAAATACCTACATAGCTGTCCTGTAGAGCTGCAGTTCTTGATTATTCCTAAACCCAGCCCTTTCAAGCTCACATTCAGCTGTATCCAAAACAAGAAGTTTATAACTTGTATTTTTTTATCTTTATATCGTTAAAAAATACATAGACAAATCACACAAGTTACAAGATGAGAGATCTAAACCTTTATAAAAAAACCCCCGTCGTTTCTCAGCTTTGTCAGCGTCTGCATTAGGAGCTATAGTTAAGCAGTGATGATTTTATCATTTTTCATAGGTTCCAACTGCCTGAAATGCACTATTCAGACACATGAGCTACATTAAAGGGACATAGGAAACCTTCAGTCTCCCTTTTAAGTGACTTATTTTGGTTGAGTGATAGGTTTTGGCATACACACTATATATGTATATGTATGTATGTATGTATGTATATATGTGTATAATGTTGGTGGCATTTCTGTAGGAGTGGCGGGATTTTCCAGTACCTCTGATAATCAATGTAACGATGTAATAACTTCCAAAATCAAACTTGAGGTAATAATCTCTAGCCCAATATAAGAAGCTTAATTAATGTATTTTCATGCAAATGTCAAAGTCTCACTCATGCTGTCAACACAATGTGGTCTGTGGTGAAGGAGAAAAAGCTGTTGAAATTGTAACATGATTTTTGGAAGATACTCTTATCAATTGAAGAGTGACACATAAGTGGGTTGACTTAAATGAATTTGTAACTGGTTGTATAAGAGGGAATTATGGCTGTGCTTTTATTATTGGCACTTACTTAATATTTACCTCTGAATTTTGACACCGCCTTAACCATTTTTTAAAACTGCCACACCCTATCTGATTATTGATAACATTCTGTTGTCTTACCAGCCTCATCTCCTCTAAAGGGAAAAGGAGACAAATTCTCAGCACTTCTTCTAGATGCTTTGAGATTGAAAGTCATCACGAATGGTGTAGGGTCGATACCCTTTTTCTCCCTTTTCCCAGATGTTAGCATGTACAGGACTAGCCTCCACACATAATGATTTAAACCAAGTTTGTTTGCTGTCCTAAGCCAGAGCTTCTCCAAAAAGACAAGTATGCAACAGTGTTTAAACTGAACATTGCTTTGGAGAACCATTTCTTGGGAAACTAGAAATCTGCCTTTCTTATTTAAGAGTGTGTACATCTGTGTCTAACATCACCATCTGGGGTTTCCTGCCATTATAATATTTTTAGCTAGAGCTAATATGTACTTAAAGAGTACATCACTCAGCAGTCACAGAACCACCAATGAAAGAAAATTTGGCTCCCAATTTCAAGCTTGTAACTCTAATAAAAGAATTAAAAACAGAATTAAACTTTTCCCACATCACTAATCCCCATCCTGCTGTTTTCTTCTTAAACCGTGCAGATTTTCTGTCTTTAGCACATACCCTTTGTTTTGCTCAGAAAAGTAGGTATTCAATGTTTCTGAAAATTAGGCCTTAAAGGAACTTGGTGTAAGTAACTAATAGAACCTAGTGTTATAAAACGTAATTCAATTGGTAAAAAACTGTGAAATACAGTAACTGAGAAAAGACAGGAGTTCTAGAAAGCTCATTTCTGCCACATGGAGGAGTTGGTTTTGCAACAAGGAATGCTAATACCTGCACGTTATATTCTAAGTTTCAGTTAAAAGCTAAGAAGTATATTAAAAGCTTTGATACAGATCTGCTAATGGGCTGAAAAATGCAACCTTGTGAGGTTGAAAGATTTGTAATGCCACATACCTTTTTGACAAACATACTTGTTGCCTTTTCTAACATTGGTGTGGAAGAAAGAATCAAAGTTGTCCCCAGCTATACAGTAGGGTGTCATTCAACAGTCAGCCTTTGAAGAAGCTCGTATGTTTTCACGTGTGCGAATGTTTATGGTTGTGTTTGTTGCAGAAGTCTGTATGTAGTTAGTACATGTCTTACCTGTGCTGTACCTGTGGGCTTCTAAAGTGAAAAATCATGTTTATGAAGGTGGAGGGACAACTTCAGACATCCTGTGGGTGTGGCACACAGGCTAAGCTCTACTTTTAGGAATTGACGTCAGTGGTACAGGGAGGCCGCACCCTCCTGCCAGCACCAAACAGGAAATTCTTAATTACATTTTAAAGGAGTGGCTGGAACAATAAAGACTGCCTTCTGCTTTGAAACCCTAAAGATACAATTTCTTTAATAACACGGAATAGCTGTTTCCAATTACAAGCAAAATAGTTATATTTGAAGGATAACGAAAAATTGTGAACAAATACAAGGAAATTTCACTATGAACTTTGAGAAATCTGGGGTTGACTGAAAAACAAGAATTTGAAGAGAGTTTTTCCTAAGTATGTTAAAAAAACCAGTTACAAAGTAGTAAAAATGGCTACATCATGCCACAAAGCGAGTAAACATTTAAAAATATTACTGCTAGAGTACACAAAATGTGCTAACCCTGTTGAATTTTTCAACATGCATGTAATAGTGTTCTTTCTGCCAAGAGACAGAGTAATAGTGAATAAAAGGCTCTGTTATGAATCACACTAGTTGAGGTTAGCTGTGCTAAATGTTTTTCATTTTTAACATTCAATTTGACTTTGCAGGAATCACCCTTCAGTTATAGTTCAGCCAGGAAAGAGACCTTTACCTGTGGAATCTCCGGACACACAAAGAAAACGTAGAATACATCGATGTGATTATGAAGGCTGCAACAAAGTCTACACTAAAAGCTCCCATCTGAAGGCTCACCGAAGAACCCATACAGGTTTGAGTACTGCTATGCTTCTCTTTCATCAAGTCTGTGGTAAAATAGTAGCCTAAGTTTGTTGTTCCTGCTAATGGCCAGGTGACCACAGGCATAAGTAACAAAATGAAAGAAATTAGATCTGGCACTGAGGATATAATTACAGGCTGAGCAAAAGACAGAGTACGTAGCAGGAAAACCCACAGCAAGAGACGGTAAGCCAGAGCAGGTTCTTGGGATTTGCTGGTGTGCTTTACATTCACTGTCTCTTCACTCATTTTGTGTCCAGTTGCTTGCAGATTACTCAATCTGCACAACGTGTAAACACCAAAACAGTTCAAATTGCACTGCCTCACCTATGACATCACTGTTAAATGGGAGTGGCCCATTTGCAGAAATCTGGACTGTGTGCCAAATGCAAACACATATGCTCTGTGGACATGCTACCCAGTGGTCCAGTGGTGCTCTTTTCTGAATAAGTGTTCAAGTAAGTGTATCCCCATCTCTGCTCTCCACAGAAATGTTCACCTTGGCATGCTAAATGAATATATACACATCCAAGGTTTTGCGGCAGTACAGCAGTGTTAAAAAAGAGGGAGAATGACATATTAGAAAGTAATGATTGAGAGAGATTTTGAGATACTTGTGACAATGGTGCCAGTTATTAAATTTCAGAAATCACAAGAAAATTTCTGCCTGCTGTTCTGGATGGTAGCACAGTCCTTTCCCCCAGCTAATCTGGAATGAGTTCCCTGTTTTGAAAATACATGAAAAAATGCTTAAACCTTTGCACTTCTGGGCTTGATGAGACAAAACAAGTGCTAATATGGCAGAGAGAGGAACAGAGAGACAACAAAAAAATAAGTTGTGGCAGGAAACAATTTTTTGGTCTGTTAACTCTGACTACACAGTTTCTAGTGCAGAAATCTCTGCAGCCTTGTGCTGTTTGCAGGCCTTTTCAGTAAGCATTAAAGTACTCTCTGAAATTCGACAAGGCAAGAGAATAAATCTGTCAGATATTTAACTGATGTGTTCATGTCTTAATATCCCCACTTCTGTGTTTCTTTTTCCAGGTGAAAAACCGTACAAATGCACTTGGGAGGGATGCACATGGAAGTTTGCTCGTTCTGATGAACTAACGCGGCATTTCCGCAAGCACACAGGAATCAAACCTTTTCAGTGCCCAGACTGTGACCGTAGCTTTTCCCGTTCGGACCATCTTGCTCTTCACAGAAAACGCCACATGCTAGTCTGAATGTCTTCTGTCCCTGACTCCTGTCACACTTTTTTTTGTTTTTTACACATGCATTTTAATTTGGATTCAGCTGGTCTGGATCTCTGAGTTTATACCATTAAAAGCTTACATATGGTCAGTAACAGATGTTATCTAACCCTCCTATGTCCTTGCCACGGGTCAGACCTAAAGAATGTGAATACTTCTTTTTTTTTCTCTCCTGGGGATGCTAAGCAAACCCTTTCTACATTCAGTATGTTTAATGTATTCCATTTGTGAATAAGGGAATTTGTAAACTAACGGCTTTTGTTGGTTTCTTCATATAATCAACCCAGAATATACTGATAAAGTAGTAAATGTTATTGAATATCCAAAATGCTAGTCCTTGCCAGACACTTTCATTTATGTGCCCAGTAAGGGATACACTCTCATTTTATGCTCAACAATGCAATGAATGAACTCTCCTGGCTGTGTTGATTTCTGCAATGTGGTTAATGCAACAGTTTTAGAAAGACATTTGATTTAGAAATCCCCTCTGCCCAAACAGTGAGTAACGCTGAGGAAATAAATCTAAACAGTGTAATTACTTTACAGAAGGATTGAGTCATAGTATCATTTACCCCAGTCAAGAAGAAAAATTGGCAGGAATGGGTCCGTACATAACACTGTGCATCTAAACCAATATCATCTGTCATCTGTATTATATTGTAGTAGATATCCTTGTTTTTATTGGATAATGCCCCAGTGGATTTGTTAAATGAAGACCTTGAGTGACACTGTATGTCTGGTTTCTGTGCAAGTGTATGGGTGGAACACACAGTCAAGAAAACAGCCTGAAGCTGAGTCAGGGGAGATTTAGGTTGGATATCAGGAAAATGTTTTTCACCCAGAGGGTGGTTGGGCACTGGAACAGGCTCCCCAGGGAAGTGGTCACAGCATGAAGCCTGACAGAGTTCAAGAAGTGTTTGGACAATGCTCTCAGGCACATGGTGTGACTCTTGGGGATGGTCCTGTGCAGGGCCAGCAGTTGAACTCGATGATCTAAATGGGTCCCTTCCAAGTCAGGATAGTCTATGATTTTATTGTACTCTCCTTGGCATTACATGATATTCATAGAAATCTGCTGCACCTCATTTCAGGGATATAGACTATCCCCCTGCAATCATGCCCCTGCATTTCCTCTAAATAATTTTTCTCTTTACTGTACCTCAGAAAATAGCAATCATTATGTCAAAAATGCTCTGAACTGTGAGTACTACTTTAATACACTACAGTATTTAAAATTATTAATCCACAATATTTTTGTAAGAAGATGGCGTCCAATATGATGCACTTCTGATAAATTGAATTCATGTTTCTGTTTTGGATAAAAATGTACACCAAATCATCCGTTTCCTAACTCTGGTTTGTGACTCTGGTAGTCTCTCTTTGTAGGTAGGCAAAGCTTCCATGTAGATGTGTCTGTTCCATTAAAACTTCACATCAGCAAGTCTTAATTCCCATGTCTGTTAGCGAACAGAACTCCATAGGTAAAATAAATTGAATTCAAGCAGCCTGCAGTTGATCCCAGATATTTTCCCATCTGGGAACCCTCTGAAAGGAAGGTTTCTGTCTATATTAGCTGGTAGACTTTGTGGCACTGCAAGGGAACAGGATGTGTTTCTCCACACTCTTATTGCACCAGTGCGTTTTTCCTTCTTTGTTCTATGCAACATAAACACTATTCCCTGCAAGATTTTTCTTGGAGGGAAAATTTCTCTTGGAAAATCCCTCTGGACAATGGAGGTTTGAGGAGAGGAAGAGTTGTGTAGAGCTCTGCAGGAGGAGGCAGGTGGAGTGTCCATCTGCAGGTGGGTATATTTGAGCTTATGGAGCAGTTAGGCTGTGCTTCTACAGTCTGTGTAGTCCAACAGCAAAAAAATAATCTTGGAGATGCAAGAGTGTGAATGCAAAGAGCCTTCCCTTGGTGATAGACTTTACCACCTGTTCTGCTGACATCCACATACCCATAGAATAAGAGGAGAGGTCTGTACTGGAGAAAAACGCTGCAACAGCAATTTCTATGAAATAGAAAGTGTTCCAGATGTTAACAACTCTTGCATTGGGTATATGGAACTGGCAATTTTATTTAAGGAATAGAGCCCTGAACGTGTGCTCTACAAAGGGGAGAGTAGAGATTTGCAAAGCAGGGCTGGGAACATTGGTGCTTTTGTGAGGAAGATCCATATGCTTTGTTACAGCTAGAAACATCCTCACCACTTCATTAGGGCTGAGGGAAGTAACACTGTGTCTTCTTGTAATTGACCCTGATCTGCTCATCTATGGTGCTGAAAAACTTGGGACATTAATTGGTCTTTTTTTTTTTTTGGTAGGCCAAATTGTTATTGACATTGAGGAACCTGTAGGAAGGAGACAGATATTAATAAACAGCTCTTCCAGACTGGAGATTTTTGTTGGATATTTTTATTGTCAGTGGTAGCAGAATTGGCTTTTTAATGGCAGTTTCATAAATATAGGTGCATCACTGCTGAGAGGCTGTGTAGAACCTTATGGCATCAGTCACAAGTTTACAGACATTTAGTATCCTGGGATGAAAACAATTCTCTGTTCCATTCTAGGGAAAAAAGCAGATACCATAAAAATAAGCAGCTTCATGGCAACTGGTCCCATTGTTAGCGTAACAAATGCAAATGCATAAAATTTGGTATGTTTAAGGAACATTTCTTTCCAATGGTCTGTTTCTCTTTTGAGGCTTTTATAAAATGTTTTCATTAATATGTTCTCTTTTTAAGTATTTTTTTTTAAATCAGAAACAAAGATCAAGTACCCTAAAAGCAGTACTTCTTAATAACTAAGAGTTATTTCAGATAATTTAGTCTAGGTTATTTGCTATGTTAATTCATAGCTTATGTACATTTTTCCTGAAAATATTTATGCTAATGGTGGAGACAAATACAGTGGAGATGCAATAGAACTTTAAAATATCTTCATCCATGTGCCTTGTGAATTAGGACAAGAGAAATTTAAATATAAAATGTAAGTATTTGATATTATTTCATTTAAATGCCTTCCTTATAGGATTTTTCACTTATGTCTGTGATGTCTTTGTGGGATGTCAAAAAGGTCACCAACAAATACACTTTGATCTTTTAGCTGAATGTGAAGTTACAACTTAACCAGCTCATCTTGATTTTAGCAAACTTCGATTTGAGGGATACCTTGTAATTTTTAAATATACACAACTACTTTTCAAAGCCAATCCTTCCATCTTTGCCCTAAAGAAAAGCCAGTTGAGATAGAAAACCCTAGTTCTGGAGAATGTGTATAATTAAAAACCCCATCTTTTTCCCTAGTTGTATTGCACTGGGCAGCTTATAACAGGTAATACTGTTCTATGAAAATGTGCCTGTTTAAGCCATTTGATCATAATAAATTACTGGTTTCTAAAACAAAAAGTTAAGCATGTATTAATGTGTGAGGTTTATTTAAATATACACCCACCATTCTGCAGTGATATTTCAAATGCTACATCTTGTCCAAATATGTTGTTGTTGCTGTCAAGGTTAGCAACATGTAGATGAATATAAATCCTTTCTATAAAAATTTACAAAGCATGTTAAATCTCTTAAGAGGGCTACACCAGTTTTCATTATATTTTACAGATATTAGCACTTTTTAAAATGTAATTTAAAGGGTCAAAATAATCTTTTTGCTTAGCATCTCTCACCTGCAAATATAGCAAGGATGTTTTATTTACTTTAATACTTCTATAAACTATGCAGAGTTTTTTAAATAAAATGTAATATATTTTATAAGCTAATAAGACAGAATGGGTAAAGGTTTCTAGCGTGCATTACTATAACTTGCAAATATGGAAACATTTTAGTAATCTTTTCTTACTAAAGATGTGAATGTTTAATGTACTTTCACTGTTTCTACTTTGGTAGTCCAATGGGAATTCAGTAATGACATTTTGTCATGTCAAACTGTGAACATAAATTTGTACTGTACAGTCCTCATACTATATTTAGTATACAGTTCATATGTATTATACTTGTTAATAAAACACTCAGAATATTGTTTGTGGTCATATTGTTGCATGCTCCAAGACAAAGAGCATGACACAGGTGTGAGGGTTGGAGGAATGCCTGGAGACCCCTGTAGGCTCTGGGGTTTTGGGTGGCCATTCTGCAGGACCCGTTGCCACTTCCCGTGTGTGAGTGCCCCACATGGGGCCAAGGGCAGGAGTACAACGCACTACCTGGAGGTACCAGCGCTGCTTCCAGCTCCTGCGTGCTGGAGGAGCTGTGCTCTGCAGCACACTTAGCGGCACACTCACGAAAATATTTTACTTGCTTCTAATTAGTCCATTGACAAGTCTGGAGCACCAAAGGCAGGTTTGCTTTTATTATCACTCACAAGGTGACTGACTGGGCCTGCGAGTAGACTCGCACTGCCAACATGTCAACATGTGTGAGTCCTGCTCACCTCTGGGCACCCCTGCAGGCTTTGCTGGGAGATGATGATGAAGAATGGTTTTTTCTTTATTCACACTTTTACAGATGCCTAAAAAGAGTAAACCTGGTTGAATTCACTATGCATCTATAACATTTCCAGTTCCTGCTCATTGCATTGGGATGTCGGTCTATTGCTGCCTGGGACCCTGATCAACCCAGATCAACCTGATGAGCACCTACACCGTGCTTTGGTGACAGAAGGGAAAGCAGGTACAGTGGAAATGAGCCATAAAAAATGAAACCCTGCAAACAGAAAACAGAATTCGAGAAAATGGCCAGCTTGTATTTCTTGGCCTCCTACTTGAAAATAAGGACTGCTCATTGTAAAGCCAGAGTCTGCTCACATCATGAGGTTTATTTCTAAGGTTCAGGCAGGAGGGACCAATGGCAGGGGGACTGAGTCACGCCACTGATCCAGCGTGGGAGCTGCCAAGGGAAAGGGCTCATCCTGACCTGTCTTCTCTAGCCCATGCACACCTGCAAGAGGCTACTGCAGTTGCTAGGCTGATACGATTATCTCTTTCAGTTTTCCTGACTCAAAAAGCATTGTGTATGTTCTAGACTGAGCTATCATTTTCAGGAAACAGTGATAATTTAATCGGCCACTAGGTGTTCCCCTTAGTCTGAGAAAAAGGCAAAATTTAAGCTTATGAGATTGTAATTTAAGATATTTCTTTTCTCGTATTTGAGAAATGAAGCTGTTCTCTCTGTCTTACCTGGTATCATTGAGTCTGATCCTATCGTACACAGAAATCTGCTCAAGGATTCAAAATTGATCTTTGTGTCTTTACTGCAATTTTTAGCCATAAAAACACTTTAAATGTATCCTCTGCAATTAAAACTCTGGCC